ACAGTCTCATCACCGAAATAGGATTACAACTGCGTATGTATGTATGCTCGAACGCATGGATGTGTATCTGCGCCTAATCCCGAATTGTTTATATGTGTGTGTTTGGATGAACTATAATGCGTACACCTGTATGTGTGTCTGCGTGCGTCATTCCAAAACGGACACAGAGGAGAATCCCCACCACCACCAAACATAATCAAACACAAACTAACATAAATAGATTCAGTTTTAAAAAATAAATCGGTTTGTCTGATGATCGCGAAAGCATGAAACCCAAGGTTACAAACTCATATCCATACAACTGAACGAATGAATGAATATATATATATATATATATATATATGAGAGAAAATATTGTACAATTGGACTCATGCCAAAATTACTTGTCGGTAAATCCTATCACTCGGCCGCCATTTTTATTGAATATTTTTTTTCTCTTGTGTTTCTTTCTGATTGTGATTCTCTATAAAACACAATGATTCTTTTCTTTAATGCGTTATTTTTAGGATACTTATAAGTGTTCCAGTATTAAAAATTTGTGAAATATTGAAACCTTTCCAGACAGCGAATAAATTTCATTGTTTTTGCATATTCCGCCAACTCCTCGCTGAGATTTAAATGGCACTTTTCAAAGGTTATGCGTCCTGGGTATGACGTTAAACTGCATCCAACAGCAAGGCCTCTGATCAGGAGGTTTAGAGGAGCGTGGAACCGCCTCTTAATTGTTGGCGTCCTGGGTATGACGATAAACTAAATCCGCGTCCTGGGTATGACGATAAACTACGTCCAACAGCAAGGCCTCTGATAATGTTTTTGAAAAAATAATGTTGCCATCTATACGTTTAATAGTACTATGTATTTAATATATATATAAAACTAGATTTGGCATTAAATGACCTACAGTGGTTGATATGCCATAAAACCCAACCAATCAAAGGTTAGGTTTTTCATGGATACTTGTTAAATGCCCGCCAAAAAAATAAAAGACGCTGTCAACATTGTGTTTATAATGTTTGCGGTATTGTCTTCTTGTCCATGAAAAAGTTTAGTATTTCAATGAAGTGTTATGGAATTAAAGCAAAAAAACGTTTTAGAGAACTATACATGCTACGCTAATTTGATTAACAGCTAGATTTCCTTAGTCTGAGAATTCATGACATTGTCATTACTATTGTTATTTTTATTATTTGCATACTTGTACATGAGATTTCTGATTGTTATAAATTGGAAACAAGTGACAACAAGTCATTACACTATTCTTCCCAATATGGATATTTCTTTTAGTCCTAATTCTTCCTCGGATCTCTAGCATGCAATTATAGTAATTGTCCACCAAAAATTAGGAGTACGAAATTAATTTCCATATGTGTTGTAGCATACCTACGGACGATAAGGGGTATGTCCCCATTCGCATAAATACAGTAGTAAATACTGTATGTTGGTCTAGAGTTGAAGATTCGTCCCCAGCTGTGCTGGTCAAACTCTCTGCCTCCGGGCAGAAAGGATCCCCGGGCGAGGCTATGTCGAAGGGCATAGTTTCGTCTCAGAGTACAGCTATCCAACCCCGTCTTACACCGGGTCTACGGGGAATTTTTGGCCGTATCTACGGGCTCATAGGCACGGCCAAAAATACCCCATATTAAATTCGGCCTTGTGCCACATCTGACCGCGTAGGGCGGTTGGTAGATATCCTGCCATTGGAGATTCGTCTCCAGCTGTGCTGGTCAAATTCACTGCCTCCGGGCATAGAGGATTCCCGGACGAAGCGATGTCGAAGAGCAGTCTCTCCTCGGCAAACAGCTATCTGACCCCGTTTTATATGGGGTCTACGAAGAATTTTTCGCCGAGCTTACGTGCTCGGATACCCACATTAAATTCAGCCTTGTGCCACATCTGACCGCGTGGAGCGGTTGGTAGATATCCTGCAGTTGGAGATTTATTGTGGAATTCACTTGACTGACTTCTAGCAATTGACTATAGCTGGCGAATCTTATATATGTTGTTCTTGTCCTAAGTATTATTGTTCATTACCAACTTTTGTTTGATTATTCTATTCAGTAACCTTCACTAGGTTACAACATAAAGTATACTTTTAATTCTCGTGAAACCTATTATTATTTCACTTTTATTTCCTCATATTCTTGATTCTGATTGAACAGCCACAAACCCAATTTCATAAAATTTTTTTTTTTTTTTTTTTTTTTACAAGAAATATCTCGATTCTGAGTAAAGTGTCCGAATTTATACACCTGGTAAGAGGTAGAATTTTCTTTTCTGAATGAAGTATTCAGTTTCTTTGCCTAAACGAGGCAGCCTGCTTACTTTGTCTGGATGCCCTGCTTACATACCGAGTCTGGATGACACGGTCAGTTTTTTTTTTTTTTTTTTTATTACGTGAATGACCCAATCGGTTTCCTTGCCAGGATGAATTTGCTTGTTATTAAACATTATTTAGGTGGCCAATTTTGTTTCCTTGTTGAAGAAGTCAGATTATTAGCATGGATTAACCCATTACCTGCCATGAGCCCCATTTGGGGAACTGTTAAAATTAAACTCACTACATGTTATTCCTTGTATTTACATTGAATTGCTTACATACATTGCATTTGCAGAGGTAGATTTTACAACACTTAGCCTTTAAAGTTTTTATTATTAGCCGAAAGACACTTTTTGTCGTAATTTTACATTTCCCGAGTAAAAAAATAATGACTATTTTGAAAAGTATTTTTTTATTATTTCTAATCTATATTATTTTTTGATGTTTTATACACATATATATTTGATGTTCTAGTTTCAATAAAAATGACAATGGTAACTACTGAAATTAAACATAAGGAATAAATAAACTCCTAAGACACCTGTCTCGGCCAAAAATGCGCATTAAAAAATTTGGCAGTTAATGGGTTAAGTGTATAGTTTCATTGACTCGCCGAAGCGTTTAGTTTTCTTGTCTACATGCCATATTATGCAGTTTTCCATAGATCCATTTTTTTTAGTGCACATTATCTTATTTTTATACATTTCCAATACATTTTTGCAAAGCGTAACAGAATCATTTTGGTACTTTTAATAACGATGGCTTTTTTCTATAATGTTCGAAATTTTCTGGCAAACAAAACATTTCGAATTCCTTCTCATATTTTATTTACGTGACAAAAGCTGCTGAATAGTCTGTGTTGCGTAGCTTTTATGTTTAGAACAAGATTTGTGTTGTGTTTAAAATGTTATAAGAATTCTGTAAAATATTTTATTTATGAAAGTGATGAAAGCAAACTAATGAAAGTGAAATTGGTTACTGCATACATTAAGGTACGATTCTTGGAAATCTAACAGTGATTATCAAAAGATTTATACGTTTGTGTAATTTCTGAAAATATCTTACTGTTATGTGCATTTTTCATCTACGGGACTACTGAAATCTAGAAAATAATTAAATACCATTGACCCAACAATGGCTTATGCATAAAACGAGAACGTAATGATAAATATAAAACTGTAAATCAAATTTTCTCGTCATGACTTCAGGTTAGACGACATGATTCCGCCATGAGGAACTTATTATTTACCGACATTAATTTCTCTAAATTCCTCGTTATAGCGGTTTTCAGTTTGACATTTCATTGTAATGCTTTAATTAACAGGAAACGAACGATATATTATTATGGTAGATCTTACTTGATTGGTATTTTCATTAATATTTACAATTCCTGGGAAACTATATTCGATGGAATTCGAACCAATAATCCCCTACAAGTGTCGAACAGATACTCAGCTATTGTGGCTTCATGTAAACATAAAACATCTAGACATAAAAGTATTCCATAAATTTCGTTAAATGGATGCTGGAATATACAATGAAAGCGTAGAAACAAACGAAAAATGATTAGTGCCTATTTGCACCAAGTGTAAATAAAGAAATATGATGTAAAGAGTATAATGAGAGAAAAGTGAACTTTTCAACCTGACGCGTTCGCTTGCATGAGAAGCATGTTTGATTTTCTTATACTGTAAGAAAATAGAGAAACCAAGACAGTCTTTTTTATTTTGTCCTGATGCAAAAGCAATTTATATACCGAATTTACATTATTCGGACTATTGTCCTCATCCTTGTTGCCATATTTATCACAATGGTTCGGCTGATGTACGCTCCGGCCTTCTTCAGTTGGTTGGAATGTCGAACTGAACCCTTTATGTCGCTCGCTGGGGTAGACTGTTCTAGTTTCACGTGCCATGTCTAATGGATGTCAGTTTTCAGTTATCTCCTGTTAATTCCCCTTTCCAAGTTCTCCACTGTCTTAACCAGGTATTGAACTCACAAATCTTTGGGTCCTGTCACTGGATCTAACCAACGCCTTTATCCACCGTGTCCTTAAGGACCATCTGTGTATGAATTTTTGGAACTTATAAGCTTAATGTCTTCAGCAATCTTTTTTTTTTACCAGTGCTCATATTGCAATTTATATCTTTACATATAAACTTTAATAAATCTCACTGGCTTGTAACAAGCTGTAAAATGAGTAGTTCCTAAACTATCGGTTTCTTTGAGATGAGTTACTATATAGTTATTTTGAGACTTGGTCGGCCATGTTTGACTCTCGGTTCAGCTGACCGAATAGTGACACTAATGGCGGTAATCAACAATCTACAAACGCTGAATAGACCTGCATCATTAAAATATCTCATACTCTCTTCTTTTCCGTTCTGTCTCTGTTTTTCTTTCTATTTCATGATGATGATGATGATCATCATCATTTCTTTACTTTCTGGGTCTCTCTTTTTTTTTTCTCTTAATCTTTCAATTGCCCTCTGTGTGTGGGGGGGTGCTCGTACTAAATCTACTGCTCGAATGACACCGAAGCCAGCGTGTCGCGTTCAACAACTAAATAACTATTGATCAAAATATCAGTTAGACGGCAGTTGTCTGTTCTTTCAGTTTTCAAACCAAGATGGAGGAAGAGAGAAAATTGAGAAATCAACTGAGGAACATTATTCTTTGTGCCTTAGGCACTTGATGGCTGCATATCAACAGACTGATCTAGATAGATAGGTGATCTCTGAAAATAGGTCTTAGTAGATGCATTTTCATTGAGATAGATAGATAGATAAGATAGATTAATTAAATAGACATTGATAGACAGATAGATGGGTGAGATAGATGGGTGAGATATAGACAGATAGATAAATATAAAACTGAGATAGATCAAATTTTCAGATAGAGATAGATAGATGAGACAGATGAATGGGTGAGACAGAGAGACAGATATAGATAGATTCCTCAGATAGATGGGTGAGACAGAGAGACAGATAGATGGGTTTTTTAAGACAGAGAGACAGAACGATAGGTGAGATTAGAGAGAGAGATGATTGGTGAGACAGACAGACAGAGGACAGACAGATAGATGGACAGACACAGATAATCCCCTACAGATGAACAGACAGATGAGACAGACAGACAGACACAGATAGGTGAGATAGACAGACAGACAGACACAGATTTCGTTAGATAGACAGACAGACAGACATGGGTGAGATAGACAGACAGACAGACACAGATTTGGTGAGAGACAGACAGACAGACACAGATGTGAGATAGACAGACAGACAGACACAGATAGGTGAGATAGACAGACAGACAGACACAGATAGGTGAGATAGACAGACAGACAGACACAGATGGGTTTTATAGACAGACAGACAGACACAGATAGGTGAGATAGACAGACAGACAGACACAGATAGGTGAGATAGACAGACAGACAGACACAGATGGTGAGATAGACAGACAGACAGACACAGATGGGTGAGATAGACAGACAGACAGACACAGATAGGTGAGATAGACAGACAGACAGACACAGATGTCTGAGATAGACAGACAGACAGACACAGATGGGTGAGATAGACAGACAGACAGACAGACAGAGATAGACAGACAGAACAGACACAGATGGGTGAGATAGACAGACAGACAGACAGACACAGATGGGTGAGATAGACAGACAGACAGACCAGATGTGTGAGATAGACAGGACAGACACAGATGGGTGAGATAGACAGACAGACAGACACATATTGGGTTAGATAGACAGACAGACAGACAGACAGATAGGTGAGATAGACAGACAGACAGACAGAGATAGGGGTGAGATAGACAGACAGACAGACACAGATGGGGGAGATAGACAGACAGACAGACACAGATGGGTGAGATAGACAGACAGACAGACACAGATGGTGAGATAGACAGACAGACAGACTACAAACGCTGACAGATGGGTGAGATAGACAGACAGACAGACACAGATGGGTTTTGATTCTTCATAGACAGACAGACAGACACAGATGGGTGAGATAGAGACAGACAGACACAGATGAGATAGACAGACAGACAAACAGATAGAGAGATATCAGACAGACAGACACAGTAGGTTCTTTAGACAGACAGACAGACACAGATGGAGGAGATAGACAGACAGACAGACACAGATGGGTGAGATAGACAGACAGACAGACTTAGATGAGATAGACAGGACAGACACAGATGGGTGAGATAGACAGACAGACAGACACAGATAGGTGAGATAGACAGACAGACAGACACAGATAGGTGAGATAGACAGACAGAGACACAGATGGGTGAGATGAACAGACAGACAGACACAGATGGGTGAGATAGACAGACAGACAGACACAGATAGGTGAGATAGACAGACAGACAGACACAGATGGTGAGATAGACAGACAGATAGACACAGATAGGTGAGATAGACAGACAGACAGACACAGATAGATGAGATAGACAGACAGACAGACACAGATAGGTGAGATAGACAGACAGACAGACACATAGGTGAGATAGACAGACAGAGAGACACAGATAGATAGACAGATAGGTGAGATAGACAGACAGACAGACACAGATAAGGTGAGACAGACAGATAGACAGACAGATAGGTGAGACAGACAGACAGACACAGATAGGTGAGATAGACAGACAGACAGACACAGATAGGTGAGATAGACAGACAGACAGACACAGATAGGTGAGATAGACAGACAGACAGACACAGATAGGTGATAGACAGACAGACAGACACAGATAGGTGAGATAGACAGACAGACAGACACAGATAGATAGACAGACAGACAGACACAGATAGGTGAGATAGACAGACAGACAGACACAGATAGGTGAGATAGACAGACAGACAGACACAGATGATAGACAGACAGACACAGATAGGGTGAGATAGACAGACAGACAGACACAGATAGGTGAGATAGACAGACAGACAGACACAGATGGGTGAGATAGATAGGTGAGATAGACAGACAGACAGACACAGATGGTGAGATAGACAGACAGACAGACACAGATAGGTGAGATAGATAGGTGAGATAGACAGACAGAGAGACAGAGATAGGTGAGATAGACAGACAGACAGACACAGATAGGTGAGATAGACAGACAGACAGACACAGATAGGTGAGATAGACAGACAGACAGACACAGATAGGTGAGATAGACAGACAGACAGACACAGATAGGTGAGATAGACAGACAGACAGACACAGATAGGTGAGATAGACAGACAGACAGACACAGATAGATAGACAGACAGACAGACACAGATAGGTGAGATAGACAGACAGACAGACACAGATAGGTGAGATAGACAGACAGACAGACACAGATGGTGAGATAGACAGACAGACAGACAGAGATAGGTGAGATAGACAGACAGACAGACAGAGATAGGGGTGAGATAGACAGACGAGACAGACAGAGATAGGGGTGAGATAGACAGGTGAGACAGAGAGAGATAGGGGTGAGATAGACAGACAGACAGACACAGATAGGTGAGATAGACAGACAGACAGACACAGATAGGGAGATAGACAGACAGACAGACTAGATTGAGATAGACAGACAGACCTGGTGAGATAGATAGATAGGGGACATAGCTAGATTTGAACAGACCTGAGATAACTAGGTAGATAGATTTTTGTATGTGATTGTGTATCTCTGGAAGTTGTATGTGTGTACGAAAACTGAATCGTTACTGGATGACTAATAAGATTAGCATCCCAATATGAAACTCTCATTTTATTTTCAAGTTTAGACTTACATCTAAATTTTTCGCTAATTCTTTCCCTTACTCCTCAAAACTGGTCGCCATATTCAATTGTTTCCTGCTGTATAAGCTGCAATATTGTCTCCATTTATTTTATTTCTTTAGATATGAAAAATTATAGAAATCAATTTATATCTCGACAACATTTACAGTCTCGTAGTTTCCGTTTTCTGGCTGACATTTACTCAATATCTTTATTTCTCTCCAAATTTTTTAGAAGACATTTTATTCAAAACTTTATCATAATTTCCTTAACTGTTATATTATGGTCTGAATTTTTTTCTCTGAATTCCTTTTTCTTTTATGTTTTTTCTTGCTTGCACTTTATTTATCTCTATGCTGTCAAAAACTCTTTCTGTTCAACTCATATCAAGAAAAAAAGATTCTTTCTTGACATTATTTAGATTACACATTACCTCCCTTACTTAATTTTGTACGCGTGGAATTATTTGCATTTCTTGAATTGTACAACCCCGGAAAGAAAATATTAAGACATTTGTTTTGCTTTTTTCACGGAAGACGCCTAGCAAGCTAAAGTTACTATAAAAATATGTAGGAAATTAATTCATTTCAATTTGAATACCGGAACAGATGTAACGGTAATACCCAGTACTTATTTTAGAAAAAAAAACTCCAATTATCTAAATATCTAACAAACAACTGTATGAACCAGGTTAACACTAGATAAATGTTATCGGTCATGTGAAGGCATCATTAGAAACTCTAAAAGCAAAGTCTAAACAGGATTTGTTTGTTATTGGAAATTTGAGGAAACCATTACTGGGAGCACCAGCAATAAAAGCTCTTAACCTATTAAAGAGGGTGAACTCTATAAAAAGTGAAGGTTAAAAATATAGAAAAGAATTTGCAGAACTTATTAAATGGGTTGTTAGACTCCAGAATATATTATATATAATATATTTAAGAGTCTGCGCAGCCAATACCTATAGCAACTTCTCAAAGCTTGACACTTCCTATGAAGAAATAAGTCCAGGAAGGGTTATAGCGTTTAAAAAGAAAATATTATACGTCCGGTAAAAAACACCAAAAACTTCACCAGCTTCACCAAGGTCAGTTCTAAGTAAGACAGTGAAATTCAACTTAAGGCGAAGGACTAAACAACCATCACCAACAAAAGTTACCAACCCACAAACTTCCAATACAGTGCACCGTCAATCAAGATCTGTTTCGGATGTCAGCTACTCGGGGAAACCGAGTCCAGCTGAATTGTCAAGGGATTGATATGAAAATTCAAATAACTGAAATTTAAAAGCCGATTGCCAGTGGCACGAAGCCGTCATTTTACACCAGATATAATTGCAAGGTTCGACCTCCTGATAGACTTTAATATTGAAATAACTTTTTTTTTTTTTTTTTTTTTTTTTTTTTTTTTTTAAAGGTTATGTTGAGTAATCCACGGTTATCTCCCTTGTCAAGAAATGGTATCTGCCTTCGCTATAAAAATGGAGCAAAAAATGAGGCGAGGAGCTATTGTACTCGTTAATGAGTTTGGATGTCAAAACAGTTCAAGACTTCATCTTCTCTTCTTCCCCCACCCCTTCTGTAATTTATTTCACTTAAATTTATGACACAACAGATAGTAAGTACTGTAGTTACATGGGACTAAAATTAACTCATTTAAAGTTAAATTTAAATATCGAATAGTGAAAGGTCTTAAAAAAATTTTTCTTAAAGTTTTAATTTTCATTTCGCTTTCAGTTGCAATTCTTATCGTCTAATTAAACCGTAATTAAGACTTAAGCGGGGCACGGTACGTTGCTCATTTTTTTTTTCTAGCACGCGTCTTGTGACGTATTCGAAATATTAGAGAGTTCGGATTCCCTAATGTCTTTTCAGAGTGACATTAAGTGAAGGGATCATAAAAAAAATGGTGATTTAAAAAACTAAAAATTGCCCGCAAAATAAATGTAAAAAAAAAAAGAAAAAAAAAACTACGTTCGTTGCGTATACGAAGAAAGATTTTGTCGAATAAAGATAAAACAATTTTATTATTTCTAAATTCTTGTAAACTTTTACGTACATATGACGCTAAAGGTAAAAGGCCCAAAAGCCCTCCGCAGGAGCTAGCCTAAAGTCCGCCCGAAGGACAGCTTCTAGGCTAGTGGCAAATCAAGTTTAAACTTTTCTTGTCTTAAATATTTTCCCTGTCAAAGCGATATGTAAAATGTGTTCATTAAATTGCTTAGACTTTTAAATCTACGTTAGTGCTGATTTCATAACTTTGCCAAAATCATTTATCTGAAATAATTGCAATGGCTGGAGAACTTAATTGTAATCCTCTCTACGGCATTATTCTCACATTTTAGATTATACCTGAGGTGATGATAGAATTGTACCTATCCAAATTTGTCCCAATCAATAGCAGCTACAATGAGGTCCTGGCTCTTATTTCATCATATACACTTCGATTTTATAGCCTTTTTCACCTCTTGCTTTGTGATAGCATTTAAGATGACACACAGGGTCGATCGTACAATCTAACAGCAGCAAGAGGCTTTTGTTGCTGTAACATTAACTAAATTCTATCTCTTTAAATACTAAAGGACACTATTTCAGCTTCTCAAGTCACAAACATTTGCATGATTTTTTTTTTTTATATTATCTACTCTCCAATGGCTGACACTCCGGAAGTTAACACCAGGTTGAACCAGTTCTGTTTCAAAACTAGCAGTACCAGTTTCTCCTGGAGTTCATAAAAGTAAAATGGATAAATCAGAACTTTGGTTCTGAGAATATCTGAAAATTACGATTAGATCTAATTCTGAGTAGATGATGTTCTTTCACAATACTTCGTTAAGAAATATGCAATGAATTACTCCAAAATTGAAACTGTGTCCATTTTTGTATTACGATGAAGAGATATTTTCACCTAAGATTTAGTCAGACAGTTATGTGCTATGCGTCATACACACTTAGGTGATCATGTATCTTTCGATACATGAGGCAGATTTTCTACTGCAGTAGGTTGCTATTTCTTTCTGCGGTAGACCTATCCATGTCCTTAGAACCCGGTCTGTAATGTTACTTACCCATAGCTGGTGGGAAAAATAGGATTCATATCTTTCCCAAGGGTATTAGTACGTAAGTGAAGTGATTCGACTGGAATTCGAACTCGGTTCTACAGATTCCTCACTCCGAGCCGTTATCCTTTACTCCATCGTGCCTCCTCGTGATATGGTACTAACAAGAATTATGATGCAATTAGTGTTTCGTGAATTTGCTATAAAATCTTTGCGAGATTAGGCTGTTTAATTAGATTCAGATTTTAAACAAAAATCTGCTACAACAAAATGCTTGAAGAAACATTTAGTTTCGATCATTGCAAATGTCAATAAATATAACACCACCAGAATATTGACAATATCATCAAGAACTAATAACAATTACGATTCTGTTTTATAAATTCCTGAGTTTATTTTTGTATATATTTAAATATAGCAGAAAAATAAGCTACTTAACAAAAGTAAATACATGCTTCTATTTTCAATAAATTATGTAAATATTTTAAGAACGGGAGAGGACGCGAGGTTTTCCTTCTCCTTGTTAATGAATTGTATGATCACGCGATCGACAATTGATAAAGATATTTATCATATCGGTCCTATTTGAAACCGACTCTTTTCCCCCTTAGTAACGAATAAGCTTCTTTTCAAAGTCTATCACTTCTCATATTACTGGAGTATGAGGCATTGTGAAGAGATTGTAGAGTTATTTTCCTTGATATTTTCTTAGTATTGGGTTGGTGCATAATTATCAGGCATTTCTTAGCAATATTTATTATGAAAAAAGAAACATAATTCAACAATGACATTTTTAGATGATTTTTTCGTAGCCTATTATTATCGACACACATTTTTATAACCTGAAAATAAAATATTAAAAAAAAAGTAAACAAAACAGCAATTTTATTAACAAATAACTCGCCTATAAAAATGCTTGATAATTATGCACCAACCCAATATAATGTATGCTATTATCAATGAGTATAAATAAAATATTTACTTTTATCATATCTTTGTATTTGCCATAAAAATTCCAAGATATAAAATATCTGGTTGTCAATGCATTTCGCTTACGAAACAGTGATGTCATTTCAACAGGATTTACAAACATTTTATAATTCATTTTCGCTATTTTTAATTATATATCGTGCTCCGCCATGCAGACTGTCTTTTTTTGAGTAGTTATTTATTCAGAAATTAAGATGTGTTATGTATAATGAAAAAAGTACGCAGGTGTAGGCTTTAAGAAAGCTTTATTCAACTGAGAATACAAGGTTCGCGTATAGTGTCCTTTTATAGTCCCAGTAAACAGAAATAGCTCTCTCAAAGAGGAGAGTAACAAAACTAGTAGAGAGCACTCTTGATTATTCATAACATTATGTATTACAATGGCAGACACACCCGAAAAAAAACTTATCACAAATAGTCCGCCGTATATCCAATCTTTTAACATGTGTACTATGATCTGTTGTCAAGGTTTGTACTTAATATACTCAGACTTCAGAAGGAATTTTAGCGGAGTTTTTCAGTGTGTTGTTGAATACATCAGTAATTTTGCATTAAGCCTACATTTTATTTTATTCATTTTTTGCGTCACAAAAACCACGCACTCGGTCGATGCCTGAACAAGAACGAAAATCCGTTGGAGTTTTTTGAATGCAAACCTCATTTTTTCAATGAAGAGAAGGGCTAAAACTGAACAGAAATTAATACGACTGTCTAAGATATCATTGAAATGTGGAACCTGATGCTCACAATTCTAGCAGCCAAAAGACAGAAATGAATGGATCTCTTCCCAAGAACTTAAAATTCACAGATTTTTGCTTCTACCATTTCTATAATTTTTTTCATCCTTGGAGCGCAGCTGAAACAAAATATCAACATCTACTGACCTTTTATCTTCAAATATATTTCAATCATTGAGATCTTACTTCCACTAAGACCGTTCGAAATAGTGCCAGTCGTAAAGCAAGGATTTGCTCGGAATTGACAAATTATAACTACAGTATGGGAATATCGAAT